ATACTAAGTAAGCAGAGTTGGGTTCAGCCAGGTTTAGGGTTTGCCATATGTGTAATTTCAGCTTGCTAAGATGCCACTGAGTGTAAAATGCACTCTTACCTCGTGTACTACTAAGAAAGAAAAAAAAGTACTTCCTTTAAATTGTGACATGCCGTTGATTTTACAGTGCATCCTGGTTTCTGGACTATTAGGAAAAATTTGTTCATTTCAGAATTGGTGAAAGTAGTAACTGGGATGGTTTTTACTTGAAAGCAACAGAAAATCCAAACTTAAATGGACTTTAGCTATGAAGAGGAGCCAAGGAGGATATGAGGAACATGGCAGCCTGTATGAGACTTGTTTCCTTGGCTCTCCCAACTGCAAGCACTCTGCTTTTCTTGAGCCAGCTTGCTGTGGGGGCCTACAGGAAACTTACAGGATCTGGGATCTGTTGTGATCCTTCCAGACAGAGAGAACTGATGTATAACTGGGCCAGTGTAGCAGGGGGCATGGATGATGAAGCAGCAGATCCTGGAAAGTGTGATGTTGCACTCATGGAGTATAGTAGGTGTTCCTGACCTCCACAAGGTCAATATATTGCTAAATGGATGGGCAGAATCTTACCTGTGCTTGAGACCAGGGGAGTGTTGGGAGACCTGGGAGCAGAGAAGATTCATACTTAGATGGGATGAGAGTGTAAGATGGTACACCCGCTTAGGAAACGTTTTGGCAGTTTCTTTAAATTTAACTATATATCTATTATTTGATCTAGCGACTTCACTTTTATGTATTTATTCAAGAGGAATGTCCACACATGCCCACACAAAGGCTTGTACACAGTATTCTTAGCATCTTTATTCATAAGAGCCTCTAACTACATAATCCAAGCGTCCGTCAACAGGGGAATGAATAAACAGGTTGTGGTATATTCATGCAGTAGAATACTACTCAGCAATAGGAAGGAGCAAATTGCGGATACACACAATACTGAGAAAACATTTTGCTGATCAAAAGAAGTGAGGCACAAGAGTGTCTCTGTATGACTTTATTAAATTAGGTTGTAGAAAACTGGTCTATAGTGATGGAAATAAGATCAGTATTGGGAGGGATTACCTGCAAAATGTGTGAAGGAACTTTCCGGGGTAACAAGACCTGTTTTATGTGTTGTTTGGGAGGGTTCCCCACGTGTGTACATTTGTCAAAACCTAACAGATAGTACATTTAAGGTGCCATTTATTGTATATGAATTACTCCTCACTAAGATTGATTTAAATTTTTGGTTGGAAGAAATCAAATCAGTATAGCAGTCATATGTCGTACTGTATGTGAATAGATTATATTATGACAGTAAAACTGTCAGGTTAAGAAACAAAACCTAACCATATCCTGTTTAGAAGAAAGAGACTTGAAAATTTGGTAAGGAAATATGAAAAATAGAGTTGGATGAAGAGCTATGGCCCAGGAAAACAACAAAAAAATCGGTTGTCAGTAGACAAGGTGGAATGTGAACATCAAACTATATAAGTGGGTTATTATCATGATAAAAGAGACAATTTATGAAGATCTAATAGTTATGGAGCCTATATGGCTAAATAGCTAAATACATAAAGCAAAAATAATGTGGCAAATGTGTCATGGTATGGGATTTTGATATACTTTTCTCAGAATTAGATCTTGTAGGTAACAGGTAAGAATATAAAGGGTTTGAATAGTGAATTCAATAAACTAAATTACACATACATAGTAGTTTACATTTCCTACAATAGATTATCTTTTTTTAAAATTAAAAAAAAATTTTTTTTTAATGTTTATTTATTTTTGAGACAGAGAGAGACAGAGCATGAATGGGGGAGGGTCACAGAGAGAGGGAGACACAGAATCTGAAACAGGCTCCAGGCTCTGAGCGGTCAGCACAGAGCCCGACGCGGGTCTCGA